CCCCACCCGGCCCGCTGGCCCTCACCGGCTTCTGGTCCGCTGGGCGCCCGCCCTAAGCAGCCGGGGAGGTGCGCGCTGTGCAGAGCCTCCGCCGCAGGGACCGCCGCAACGCAGCCAGCTCCCGCCCTTTGTGACACCGTCCGCCAATCGCTCGGCGGCTCACCCGCAGTCCTCCAATAAGCGGCGGTGGGGTGGGGGTGGGGCGGGGCCTGGACGCGACGCCGGCGGTTGCTCAGGCGCCGGGGACTCCCAGGCGTTTGGACGTGGTTGTCCGTTGGGAGGTCCCGGATGTTGACGCTTTCTCTTGACAACCGCGGACCCCGCCTGTGGACCTACCTGGCCGGCGGCTGCAGGCCAGCCTCTTGACGTGCCCGGAGTGGCCAGGTCTGTGCACCTGCCCCGGGACACACGCACGGCCTCTCGGGTCGGAGGGCCTAGACCTGTCTTTCCCTAGTGGCATTCCCAGAGCCGTGGCACGTCGGGCGCCCGGGCCGCAGCCCTTTCCGCACCCAGCCGTCCTCCGGTATTTCCGGCCTCCATTGCCCCGTCTGAAAAATGGGGCCATCCCACGCCTGACCTAGGACGGGCGTCAGCAGGTAACTTCCCGAGGACCTCCCATTCCCCCCACACACCCCGTGTGCGGAGGGAAGGCGGCGGCCACACAGGTTCTGCTCGTCACCCAGACACACGTCCTCCCGGGTGTCACGGGAGACGGCTCCGCGAGCACACGTGACCACACAGGTCCCCACGGCGCCATCGGAGCCGGCTGAGCACACACTCCGCCCGCCCGGCCCCGTCCACAGCGGACCCTGAGAGGTCTTCCAGCCCCTTGCCTATTTCACCGGGTGGATTATGCAACTACACTGAATTTACCTCCCACAGCGGGTTCACTCCTCCTCCACTTGTGACTTGACTGACCTGAATCTGTTGGTCGCCACTGTCATTTCCTGAGTCCCCATCATCACTTTCCAGTTCAACAAACTACCGTGGGTCAGGGGGAAGACCCTGGGTTTTCATGTTAGTCTCTCAACGGTTAAACTATGGGTGCTTAATGCTAATAGACTGATTCCTTGAGGACAAAGACAAGATGGCAGTCATCTTTGTTTTGTGTTTGTTGCAGAAGGCAAGGTCCCAGCACGGGACTGATCTGGCTTCTGCTTCAGCCTCCCAACATCTGGGACTACAGGTGCATGCCATAGCTCCCAGCCTAGTAATCATCTTTGTAAGCAGATCCTACAATAGTACCTGTGATGGAGTCTTAAACTAGGTAAAAAGTGCTTGTCAACCCTGCTACCCAGTTGAAAGAAATGACAGTGTGGAAATTGGAGTCAAGAAGATGAATTTAATGACTTGGCTTCTAAAACAGTTCCATTAACTAACCAGTTACAGGGCTCTTTACATGTTCTCTGCTTCTCACAAGGCTACTACTGAAACCTTCATTTATGAAGGTGGAAAGAAGAGTTAAGGAAAACAGAAGAGTTTGTCACCATCAAAACAGCTCAAAGTGTGAGAGCCAGATGTGAAATTTTGGAAAAAATACAAAACTCTAACCTTGATCCACACAGCTTCTAGATTCCAGCCCTACTTGTAAAATTAGAACATTACCTGTCTGAAGACTGGAAACTGAGTAAAATAATATAGAAAGTACTTCCCATAGGAACTTTTTGTCATGAAGACTGCTCTCAGCCTCTCAAGACAGCCCTATTGTCTACTGGATCTCCTAGAATCTATTCTAAAGACCAATGGGATCTTGCAGTTTCAAAATAAAATGAAAACTAGTTGATACATGCTCATGAAGTCAGTTCCACACTAGGTTGGGTTTAGATACCCAGAGAAGAGAAGGGAGATGTCTGAAAAGGACAGATTATCTACAAATGCCCAAAGTAGTTACTACCAAGTAACTTGCAGAGCAGAGCAGAGCAGGACACATAGCTGACATGTAGAGGCCATATTAAATCTTTAACTTTGGCCGTTAGTCAATTCCCCCATCCAATCATAACATGCCCAAGGAAGAAATCGGTGGCTTCAGGATTGCTGAGATCAGTGCTGCTCTGATAGGCTAGGATAACTCTGGAGGCTGACAAGTCTATCATTCTATCCCAGCACTTTCCTGCTTTTATCTAGCCTTAACCTGCTCCTTCCACAAGTAAATGCACAGCTCCAAGGATCCAAGTGGATACTTTGGAGCAAGGGTCAGCAAACCATTTCTAGAAAGGGTCCAAAAGTAAATATCTTATGTGCCTAAGCCATCCAGTTTCTGCAACAATTCAACTCTGACATTGGAGGTGGGTGGAAAGCCACAAGTGTAAATGAATGGGTGTGGAGGCGCACCAATAAAACTTTATTTATATTAGACAGTGGGAGCAACATAGTTTGCCAAATTTTCCCTTAGAGGATTTGCAGAGGCATTTTCAGCATTCAGTGCAAACTCCCTGTCAGGCGTAGACCCCTTAACCTCTCACCTTTCATTCTCCCTGACTACTCCCCAACCCCCATGAAGTCTTGACTTAGCCACTCACTGGCATTTATCTATCTGGCATTTGTTTTGTACTCTAGATTCCCTGCCCCTACCTCTATGAAATATTTCTAATATTCTTAATCTTTTTGTGGACTTAAGACTGAATAAATAGAAACAAATTTCTCTGAAAACATTTTCATTTTGCAGTATTAAGCATGATTAAAATCTGCAGAAAAATACTAAGTACATCAGGTGTAAGATGAGCTAGCTGTTTCAGCTTTTTATAACCTAAGAGAATGAGTATAAGGGTTAAATCAAGGCTGCAGCTGAAAAGTGTGGAGTGGAAAACTATGTTCTAGTGGTCTCCAAAGGCATTTAGGGGATCATCAAATATATTGGCCACCTTGTGTTCCGATCTTGGTTCAGGTGCTACCTGTGCAGAGTGGCTTTTTGGTTTGGTTGTTTTGGCCTGGACACCAGAGAAGATATCATCTATGAAAAGAAAGAAAAAAAAGTTGCTCAACAGGAAATAGGTGTTTTTAAGACACATCCACACAAAACATTGAAGATTTAATTCTGATAACAGTACAGAAAGTACACTAAGAAACAAAAGTTTTAGATTTTTTGTCTCTTACAGTTTTATGATTACATACAAGTCACATTCTCTCTAAGCATAAATTTTTCTGGCATAAAAAAGTGTAAGGAAGGTGCCAGTGGCACATGCCTGTAATTCTAGCTACTCAGGAAGTTGAGATCTGAGGATAGTGGTTTGAAGCCAGCCTGGGCAGGAAAGTCTGTGAGACTCTTATCTCGGCGCTGTGGCTCAAGTGGTAGAGTGCTAGCCTTTTGCTGAAGAACTGAGAGACAGTGCCCAGGCCCAGAGTTCAAGACCCACGACCGACCAAAAAAAAAAAAAAAAGGGCAAGCAGATTATGCAAAGGGAAATCAAATACAGGAGTTATTCTCTTTCAGAATAAAACACTTCGAGGTATCTTAATAGTAAGAATGACATCCTTATTGCTACATCTATGTGTAATGTTTCATAGACCTTAAAGCATGATTTGGATGTGACTTACCTAGTGATATATAATGTTAATTGCTAGGAGTCTACTAAGTATCCCGCATGTGAACATTAAAACAGGGATATAAGGCAACTGTTGTTGGCTCACATCTGTAACCCTAGCTGCTCAAGAGGCAGAGATCTGAGGATCATGGTTCAAAGCCAGCCAGGCAGAAAAGTCTGTGAGACACTTAGCTCCAATTAATCATCAAAAAAGCTGGAAGTGGAGCTGTGGCTCAAGGGGTAGGAGAATTAGCCTTGAGCAAAAAGCAGCTCAGGGAAAGCACCTGAGTTCAAGCCCAAGGACTGGCACATAAAGTATACACAAATGATAAAAACTACATTATAACAAAAAAACAACCAACCGAGACTGCTATTAATAAGCTAATGGCTAAATACAAACTATTATTCAAACATTAAAATCATGGCAGGAGATCTGTGTGTACTGACATAGAAAGGCATATGTGACTAAAGGGAATAGTCCAACAGGTAAAGTGTATTACTATTTTTTTTTTTTGGGTCCAGTCGTGGGGCCTGAACTCTGGGCCTGGGTGCTGTCCCTCAGCTCTTCAGCCCAAGGCTAGCACTCTACCACTTGAGCCACAGCGCCACTTCCGGCTTTTTTTCTTATGTGGTGCTAAGGAATTGAACCCAGGGCCTCGAGCATGCAAGGCAAGTGCTCTACCACTGAGCCACCTTCCCAGCCCAAGTGTATTATTTTTGATAAAGGTATCTATGCATATAAATGTACATGAGTATCACTGTATCCGAAAGGATTCACACCAAACAATTCAGGTTACATTTAAGGCTTTTTTCACTTTCTACATTTTATGAGTTGGGTGATTCTATTACCATTAGCATGAATTACATTTTTTGATAACTAAAAATTCAAGCCATGTGAACACATAATTGCAGCACTTGGGAAGCTGAGGCTCCCAAGTTCAAGGCTAGCCTAGGCTATAGCAAGATCCTCTTCAAAAAATAAAGTGAAAATATAATCCAAATTGAAGTCTCAGTTGGGTGGAGACTTCTACTTGGGAGATAAGAGATTAGGGTATTGCATTTGGAAGCCAACCTAAGCATAACATTTTAGAACTCCATGTTCACCACTGGCTGGACACAGTGTTTGAATGCCTATTATCTCAAGCTCTGGTGGAAGCACAACAGCTGGCACAAGAGTACAAACCTGTCATCCTAGAGGCAAAAGGAAGTACAAATAGGATCATGATCAAGAACACCTGGGGCAAAAAACAAAACTCTACCTCAAAAATAACCTACACTGGTTGGGAATGTGGCTTAGTGGTAGAGTGTTTGCCTAACAGGCATGAAGCCCTGGGTTCAATTCATCAGTACCAAATACACAGAAAAAAGCCAGAGGTGGCGCTTTGGCTCCAGTGGTAGAGTGCTAGCCTTGAGCAAAAGAAGCTCAGGGACAGTACTTAGGCCCTAAATTCAAGCCCCAGGACTGGCCAAAAAAAAAAAAAAAAATCCAACACAAAATGGGCCTGGCAGAGAAGACTGAGTGGTAGAGCACCTGCTTAGCAAATGTAAAGCTCTGAGTTTAAATTCTCTTACTAGGGGGAA